TGTGTGTGTGTGTGTGTGTGTGTGTGTGATATGTGTGCGTGTGCGTGTGCGTGTGTGTGTGTGTGTGTGTGTGTGTGTGTGTGTGTGTGCATATATATAGAGAGATAGATAGATAGATAGATAAATAGATATCTTAACAAATAAATATAGAGAAATTTATATAGACAGATAGAAAGATAGATAAACAGACAGACAGACAGCCACATAGATGAATAAACTGATAGATAGATAGGTAGACAGATAGATAGATAATGATAAGAGAGAAAGAGAGAGGGACAAGCACACATATATAAACACACACACACACACATATATATATATATATATATATATATATATATATATATATATATATATATATATATATATATATATATATATTTGTGTGTGCGTGTGTGTGTGTGTTTGTGTCTATATCTATCCATCTATCGATCTATCTATTTATATATTTATTTATCTATCTACCAAGCTATCTATCTTTCTATATATATATATATGTTTATAATGATGAAGCAGAGAGAGTGGCAAGCAAACAAATATAGATATCGAAACGGCCACGGACTTAGAAATAGCCACAGACATCGACATAAACACAGACATAACCAAACACACGCAGATAAACGCAACCACACGTGTACACATACACACAGCGGAAAATGCACTGAATTCCTCCATCCCCCCCCCCCCTTTGAAATAATTCCAGCGGCATCCTCTGGCATATCCCTGTAGGAAATGCCTCTACACATAACAGAGCTCTTGCGTTCACCTCCAGGGACTATGCCTCACTGTTCTCCCCGCTGCTAAGAAATTTTGTGTGGTTTTATTGTGTATATTTGGTGGGTATTGAGGTCTGAGGTATATACTTTGTATTTATGTGTTTTTGGTTTGGAGAGAATTGATTTAGATTCTTTTTTTTCTTTTTTTTTTGCTATATGGCGTGTTGTATTTATGTGGTATATTGTGTATTATTATTAATGTTTTTTTTGATGCATTGTTAACACGATGGACTGTTTTATGAAGTTGTTGAAGTTCCAATTAGGTTAGAAGGGCCCATATGTGCGTTTTTTTACATTTCGTGGTATGGAGGTTTCAAGAGCAGCTCGCGCAATGTAAAAAAAGTTCTTTGTTTTATAAAGGGAAACATCGAGTAGTTTCGATGACTGGAGATAGACATATATATATATATATATATATATATATATATATATATATATATATATATATATATATATATATATATATATATATATATATATAAGTCCCCTGTGCCTCGTGTATGTTTATATATCATCATCATCATTAGCCTGAGTCAATCCAACTTTTTCTGTCTTGCGTTTTTTTATTCCAGCCTTGGCTCCCAAATTTCGCTATTTCGTCACGCCATCTTGCCATTGCTCTGGCCCTTGGTCTCTTTATGTTATCTATAGTCTGTTGCTTTCTTTGTCCATCTGTCGTCCTGTCTCCGACATATATGACCTGCCCATTGCTATGTTTTCTTTATAATGTTCACAAGTATATCTTCCACTTTTGTCTGTTTCTTGTTCCGCGTCGCCCTCATCCAATCTCTTAGGCTAATGCCCAGCATCAACCTTTCCATCCCTCTCTGGACACTTTTTAGTTTCCTTTTCTGTAATTTGGTTGTAGTCCATGTTTCTGATCCATAGGTCATAACTGGGAGGACGCATTGGTTAAAGACTTTTTTTAAAACATATTGGCAAGGAGCCTATAAGTATGCTACTGTCTCTGCCAAAGGCGCTCCAGCCTAGACTGATGCGTCGTTTAATTTCCACTTCGTTAGATGTGTCTGTGTGTACGAGTTACCCCTGGTATATATACACCTGTCCACTACAGTCAGTAGTAGTGGACACCTGTCCACTACTGTCCTACTACTTTGCCTTGTACGTGTATCTGTTTGAATTGAACTCTACTGTTGAACATGATCTAAGTCTTTTTCTTCGTCATCCTAAGTCCGACTTTCAGACTTTCTCTATTCAGATCGCTTACGAGTTGCTCCATTTCATTTGCAGATTCACTGAAGAGAATAATAGCATCTGCAAATCTTAGATTGCTTAGGTTTTCGCGTCTTATTTTGATACCCTTTCCGTTCTATTCTCGCTTCTTGAATGTTTCTTTAAGGCAAACAGTTTTGGTGAGATGCTATAGCACTAACACCTTTTTGAATTGGCATTTCATCGGTTTCTGTGTGGAGCTTGATTAGTTTGTCTTCGTTTATAACTACCAATATTTCACAATATGCCTCCTCTACTCCCTGTCTTCGACTAGCTTCTAGTACTGCTGGTATTTGTAAAGTCAAAACCCTTTTCATAATCGATGAATGCCATATACAGGGGTTTCCTATACTCGTTTATTTTTTCTCTTATTTGGGTGAGCGTGTGGATGTGGTCTGTTGTTGAGAATCCACTGCCTGTTCTCTTAGTTAGTTAGAATCCAGACTGTCAGAGATGCGAGTTGTGATGATTTTGTGAACAGTTTGTAAGTAAGGAGGCTTATGGGTCGGTTGTTTTTAGATCCTTTCTTAATTGTTGAATTTTTCCAGGCTTTCGAAGATTTTCTGTTAAGAAAGCATTTGTTAAAAAGATCCCCTCTCTTCATGCCTTTAAGCGTTTTTTTTATTTCTTCAGTTGTGATGTTATGTACGTCTCTAGTTACCGCTTTCGCTTCCACTACTCTTATGATTTCATTCTTATTATTTGCCATTTCTCCGTCTAGTTCCTTTATTGCATACATTTGATTTCTCCCTATTCCGAGTCTCCTTTTAAATTCTTTCATCCTGGTACATAAGATCACTGTTTCATTTATTATTTAAGTATTGAATTTCAGTACATCTTCTCTCTTCTTTTTATTTACAGTCTTTGTTAGTTCAGCTAATTCTATCTTGTCCTTGTTTAGCAATACTTTCATGACCCAACGTTTTTGCATAAGCTGTCTAGTTTCTACCAAGAGCTTGCTGGAGCTTTACTTGACGTTCTTACTAGAACTTGCACGTGCCTACTGCAAGTGCAGCTTCCTTTATTATATCACTGAACTGGTTGTTGGTTTGGTCAATATTGAGATCTTCGTCGCTTAGAAGTGAATATCTATATTGAATTTTAAGGTTAAATTCTGTCGCTCTGGTCTTCAAGTTAGCTAAATTTGGCTGCGGTTTTCGTATGAGTTTGTTCCTTTCCTTTCTGAGGTGTAATTTAATTGGGCCTCTGACCATTCAATGGTCGCTGCCAATATTTACTTTATTAATAAGTTTCACTTTTTTATCATAACGCACCTATATGAAATCATGAAGTCAGTTTCGTTTTTGATGTCAGATGACGACTTCCATGTTTATTCCGCTCTAGTCTTTTTTTCGAAGAATGTATTCATGATATTGAATGATCGAGATCCGCAAAGTCGACCAGCATTTGTCCCCTCTCATTCCTAGTGCTTATTCCGTAATACCCCACTACAGTTTTTCCTTCTGTCTTTTTACCTATTTTGGCATTAAAATCTTCCATAATTATTGTGATTTTTTTTTTACTCTCTCGCTAGCTAAATGAACATCTTCATAGAAGCTCTCTATTTCTTCATCACTGTAGCTGCAGGTTGGAGCACGTGTCCACCATTTTAGTATTTTCTCTTTTTCGCCTAGTCTTTTAACTTCACTGAGTCCTACAGCATTTAATGAAAGAGAGTTCCTAAAGTAATGTTAGTAAGTCGGATTCCATTGTCCTTATATTATCTGTGCAAAGGTTCATCAACGTGGGCGGCCTGTTTTTAACCGGGAATTCTTAGCACCCTCTTTTCCAGAGTAATCCTGATCGCCGCCGTAACCAGGGGCTCCTTCGCCTCTAGGGTATGAAGGCCGTTGCTCTGTTTGTGCAGTCATGGCTTTTGATTGAGAGGTAGACAGCCGAGTTACCCCCCCCCCCCCCTTAGGTGTATCTTGATGGGAGGGGGAGTAATTTAGCAGGGATGCCAGAAAGGTTGGGCCTTTTGTTTTAAGATCCTTTCTTAATTGTTGCATTTATCCTGGCTTTCGGAGTTTTTCTGTTAAGAAACCATGTGTTAAAAAGGTCCCCTCTTTTCATGCCTTTAAGCGCTCATAACTGGGAGGACGCATTGGTTCGCTATTTCGTCACGCCATCTTGTCATTGCTCTGGCCCTTGGCCTCTTTATGTTATCTATAGTCTGTTGCTTTCTTTGTCCATCTTTGTCCATCTTTCATACATTCACACACACACACACACGCACACACACACACACACACACACACACACACACACACACACACACACACACGCACACACACACACACACACACACACACACACACACACACACACACACACACAACACACACACACACACACACACACACACACACACAGATATATATATATATATATATACATATATATATATATATATATATATATATATATATATATACATACACATGTGTGTGTGTGTGTGTGTGTGTGTGTGTGTGTGTGTGTGTGTGTGTGTTGTGTGTGTGTGTGTATGTGTGTGTGTGTGTGTGTGTGGTGTGTGTGTGCGCGTGCGTGTATATATGTGTATATATATGTATATATATATATATATATAAATATATATATATATATATATATATATATATATATATATATGTATATATATATATATATATATATATATATATATATATATATATATATATAGAGAGAGAGAGAGAGAGAGAGAGAGAGAGAGAGAGAGAGAGAGAGAGCGAGAGAGAGAGAGAGAGAGAGAGAGAGAGAGAGAGAGAGAGAGAGAGAGAGAGAGAGAGAGAGAAAGAGTTTGTCCATATAAGCATATACATATATACGTATAAGTATGTGCTTACATGTATGCATCCTCATCAATCATTCTATAAATCAGACACACACACTCAAAAAACCCACTCAACCACGCAACGTTCCCAAATAGCAAAGTCCCCCCTAAAAATAAAACATCCTCGCCGCCCATTTTCTGTGACGCCGTTTGTTTACTTGAGGAAGAAGGCGAAGGCGAGAGACATGACGCTCGAGGATTTCGTCTGATAATGACCAAGAACAAATGCAAGAACCAGAAGAAAAGCGATGATGAGAAGAAGTAAGTGAAGAAGAGAAGAAGGAGAGGAAGAGAAGAGGGAGTGAGGTGGAGTTAGTAATGAGAGGAAGAGGTTGTTAAAAGAGAGGGTTGGAAAGTCATGGATATTTTTTACGTTTTTTTTTTATTTATTATTGTTGTTATTATTAGTTTATCTGATTAATTTCCTCTCTTTTATTGATTGTCATGCTTGTTAATTTGTCGTTCTTTCTGTTAATGGGTTAAATGGGGTTTTAAAATGGTTTATATTATTGGAAAATGAGAAGTACATATAATATGCTAATATTTCATCAGTAACCAAAATTACATTTTAATTTTTATTGTATTTCTTTCAGTATTTGGTATTTTGATAATTAAATGGAAATTAATTATTTAGAAATAGTGATTGTAGAGAGACAAGTTACTGATATATTTTTCTGTTGTCATTTTCATTGTCATCATTGTCAATACCTTGTTTATTCGTTTCAGATTTTATAACCCAAGAAAATACTTTGTAATTGGAATAAATAACTTTATTTGCTTATGTTATGTGATTAGTAATTCTCCAGAACTGCACGAGACGATGTTGTTGCCTTGGCACTTTCTGCTCCGGTAAAGGCCAATAGACCTCCAGAAAGTACGAGTGACGGAACCGAGACGTGAATTTGTATTTTATAAGATGATATTGATAGTAATTGATAAGATTTTGGGGAGGTCGAGAAGCTGGGGTCTTGCTAGAATGTATTTGTTAGAGGCTTATCTACTTTTGCTGGAGTTTGAGGGACGGAAATCCTTTTTCATCGCTAGGCTTAATGTCTAAATGAGGTTCATGGCCGTTTCATTTCATTTTAGCCTTCCTTTACTCCTTACATATCATTTGTTCTACTAATTATGTTGTTTAACCCAGTGCCGCCGGGGAAAAGGAATAAAAAAAATTGGAAAAATGCGCTGTGCTTAGCCACAAAGGAGTCAATTAGTAGACCTTGTGACCTTACGTGATTTGAATTGGCGGAAAAAATGTGTTTTTTACTCTTGATATGAATATCGATGGTGTTATTTATATTATAAACATAATTGCTATAATGTTATAATCATTAGTAACAGTGAAATAAGATAACGTAAAACATTTATGTAAATCAAAGAAAAGGGTAAATGAACGAATCAGGCAGTACTTGTAATTGACTTATTAGTGACTTAGTACAAGTGTAGCCATCTATGTGTAAAAACAATCAAACGAGTAACTCACGTCATGCCCGTTAGCATTGGGTTAATAGTATTGCACCATGTTTTCTTCATGACCATTATTTATGTTTTTATCTATCTACGCAATCTGTGCAGTTTGCATTTGTCTGTTCTGAAAGTGCATGACATAATCTTGAAAAAACATAATGGATGATGATATATACACCTTCAAAATTTCTTTCATACTTGATAACTTTGGATGTAAAGAGTAAAACCTTTGAAAAATATGTTATTTGAACAGATTAGTTGTTCCCGAACTTTTCTAGGCTGGCTTCCAGGTAGCTTCCTAGTGCTGCCCCCCCCCCCCACCCCCCTGTTATACACACTTGCAAGCACACACACACACTTTGTTATGCTTCACATTGAAAACAACAAGATCAAACACAGAGATGTATTTCACAAATAAAACCTTATTTAGTAAACTGATGTACTGAGCAGTTTTAGCTGTGTTAGCAATATGGAAAGGTAAATCAACATCTCACCAGTAACCATAGTAACATAGTTCATTTTCACAGTTATTGTTAAAGGGATGAAGGTCCTTGGTGTTGGGATATCAGCTTCTCAACATAAGGATATAACTCATTAACCTCAATGTTGCCGGGAAATGTCTCTGCACATAGATGGCTCTGTTAGTGCTTAGACGCAAAGGAGTCAATTGGTAGACCTTTTGACCTTACCTGATTTCACCTCTCCCTGAATTGGCAGGAAAAATGTATTTTTTACTAATACTAAGAATATTGATTGTGTTATTTTTATTATAGACATTATAATTACTATAATGTTATAGACATTAGTAAAAGCAGCATTAGATAACATAAGATACTTTCGAAAATCAAGGAAAAGAGTAAACAGGCAAAACAGGCAGTACTCATAGTTGGCTCATTGATGACTTAATACAAGTCTGTGTGTAAAAACAATTAATAAAGTAAACTTACAGTGGGCATGGCATGTACGCAGATACCATACCTGTCAGATTTAGGTTAATAAGGGGGGGGAAAATGTTATAAACTGCTAATACCATCAATTTGCCCCTCTCCTGCTCTTCCTTGCCACTGCCCCATGAGAGTGGTATTTATTTGTGATAGAATGGAATAGATAATTGTTTAGGGCAATTTAAAAAATTAACATGTTGTATAGGCTATATAGATTATATTTTATTAAAGATGTAAAGTAACAATTATATTAAAGAGAGTATTGATATTCAGATAATTTTTCAATTTCTCTTTACTTAGTATCTTTGGAATTTTTTTTGCAGTATTTATGATTCGTAATATCTATATTGTATATAAGAATTTTATATGATATCTTGAGAATTATTTTTCATGTCTGTACAGGATAGATAGCCTATACTGATGGAAATGATAAATATATAATTAGCCTAAAAATATTAAGTATTAGGTAGAATAAAGATGAAAATTATCTCTGTATGGAGTATATTATTTCATGATTTTTATGATTCTCCGAGAGACCGTTTTTTTTATGGCCATATTATTAATGGAGATTAGTGTTCCCATTAGTATATATTACTATATATGTTATATGTCTGTAGTTTGCTCTTTATTCATAATGTCTTAAACATATTTCTTCAATATACTCATTTGCAATCTCTACCTCTCGTGTTTTTTCTTATGAAAATGTTTAGTTAATTTCAGTATGTTTGATGGATGGATCTTAATTCCAGTCTGATGGTGGAATAGTGTCAGGTGATAACTTTGAAGTTTATAGTTTACTTCACAATTTAGGAATGGCTGAAAACTATTAACCATGGATATGTTTTTTTTTATTTTTTTTTATTGTTTTTATTTATTTATTTTTTTTTCTGAAGATTCTGTCTTGCAATAATAATGAAGAAGGTTTGTAAGTCTTAGCTAGACTAGTGATTGGCTGGACACTGTTGGTGAATGTCAGTTTTTCTTTTAGTAACATTTACTGGCTGTTCATTTGTTTATTAGATATATTTTGGTATTTGAAATATATTTTTCATTTTCCTATTACTCACTTCAGTTCTTTTCATTATCTCCGTTTAGAACAGTACAAAGAATTTCTATGATGCCTTTATTTCCTTCAAGACAAATCCAAAATTAGAATCCAAAAGAAAATACACATGTATATCTATATAAATCTTATCTCTTCAACAGACAGTTTAGACAATGGGAAGCCGCTCGCAGACAGCGCTTCAACGAGGGCCTGGATAAGCTGCGGCTGGTGCTGCCCGACTGCGACCCCAAGACCAAGGTGGAGATCATCCACTCGGCCATCGAATACATCCAGGAAAGCAAGGCATTCAAGGAGAACATACTTGCGGGGAACGAAGCACAGGAGCTGAGTAAGTGTGTGGATGGCGTCTCCTTAGGGCTTGGAGAGAGTGGCGTAGAGTGACTGGTATGTATTTGATCTTGTATGCGAAGGGTATTCTGTTATGATACCAGTGTGTGTATAAGGGTTTTGTAAGTATAGGGACTGTTCCTCTTTGAATGTTTTATATCTGACAGGGGGTGAAGTGCATTCTATTGGGGTTTTTCAAGGGGCCAATATAATTTGTGTAAAAGCTGAGTAAGTGTGTTACATTTTGGGTTCAGTATGAAGATATTTTGACATTTAATAGTCCTATAATAAAGGAATAAGCTTATAATAGAGGAAGATGATATTCAATCATTAGTGTGCAAGGAAATATGAAAGATTAAATTTTTTTAAAATCATCAAACAATCCTCTCCAAAAGAAATGATAGTTATTACCAAATAAGGCATCATTATCATTATCATTATCATGATTATTACTGATATTATTATGAATATTATTATTATTAATATTATTATTATTATTATTATTATTATTATTATTATTATTGGATTATTATTTTCATTTTTATTGTTATTGATATATTATGATTACTAATATTATTATCTTTATTATTGATATTATTATCTTTATCATATTCGTTATCATCATCATCATCATCATTATTTATTTGCATATTTGTTAAAATGTTTATTTATTTACTTACTTGTTTATTTATTTGTTTACTTTATGTGTTTTAGTGTTTATGTATTCTATTGTACACCGAGATGATTTCTCCGCAGAACGTGTCATTCGGAGGTTAAGAAAGCAAGTGGAAGTCTTGAAGCAGAGGAATGCCATCCTTGTTAAACTGTTGCAAGAGACTGGACTTCGCATTGAGTCGGATGCTTCTGGCGGAGAGATTATATATACCACTCCTGGTACGTGGATTTGCATACTCGGTGCATGTTCTGTGTGTATTTGTATGCATGTCTGTGTGTGTTTGTGTTTGTTTTTGTGTTGTTTCTGGGTTTTTTTTTTTAGATTTATGTTAAACTATTGTTACAGGAAGTTTTCTACTAGTAATGTTGAAACTGTGGGATAAACTTTGCATTGTCCTGGTGCATCTGTCTATCAATCTGTCTTGTGTTTGATAGGTGATTCTTCATTTTATTCTCAAATACAAAATTTTTGCTAGTAATCAGAGTAAAGTAGAAAATATGAGGGGTAATAATTTCTGAATATCTGCAGGTACCTGTGTTCAGAGTAACTGCTCAAATGCATCATGCAAGAGAGTAACCTGTGGGACCCGCATACCTGTCTTGCTGGGTGACCTGTCTTCGGAGGTCATTGATGACGCACTGGAAGAAGACGATGCTGTAAATTCCGGTGATTTACAGCCCAGAGATCCAACGGAGAAACTAGCAACTGTAAGTAGTATCAGAACACAGCAACCCGTTTTTACAGAGCAAGGTACAGGGACACAAGAGAATACAGACCCCGGCGATTCTCTGGAGAGCAGCGGAAACAAGCAGAGTGGAAAGCAGCCGTCAGTTGAAAATTCTCCAGAAAATGCATCCGAGGCCAGTCTTCCAGCAAGGAATTCCTCTGACTTCCAAGATGAAGACGTGGGTGTGTCAATACCTGCTGTCAGCGATGAGGGAGCAGCCCAAGCACTTGTGCCTCCACAGGAAAGTGAGAGTGAAAGTCCCAGAATTGCATCTCGGCCAGAGAATGCAGGGCCTGTAAGTGCCTTGTCACATAATTTTGTAAGTGCACAGCTGACCAGTTTGTCTATTGAAAGTGAAAATGAACATATATCTGTGTTGCCCCAGAACTGTGCAAGTGACTTGAAGTGTGAAAAGACAAAGGAAAAGATTCTTGTTGAAGAAGTCAGTAAGAACGGGACAATAACGGTGAGCATTATAGAGGAGGAAGGAACACAGACAGAGGAAGCCAGCAATAATGGGTCCAGTAAACTATCAAACAGGAAGCTGGATGGTGAAGGATCAGATAAGGCAATGGGTACAGCAAAGGAGCTGTCCTTAGCATCTTCTGAAACCTGCTTGGTTGTCCAGGACATGCAACATGTCACAGTCCATCCTGAAATTCAGCCCCAGTCAATTCCAGCTACGCAGTCAGTTCCCGTGTCGGCCTCAAATTTTTATGGAAACCCCACGCAAATGGTCACAATTCAGGTTCATGGGGGAGAGAAAGTACAAAACAAGGGGCAGAAAGTTGTCCTGCTGCAGTGTGGGAATTCTGCTCCAGGCACATTCCAGCTTGTCCCTCCAATCGCTGATAATTCCCAGCTCACTTACGTGACCCCTTCTCTCTCAGGGGTCCCTATCATGTCCACAGGTGTTCCCCCCTCCATCCTACAGACAGGAAATCTTGTGAAGGTAGTCAATTCCCCTCCAGTTCTCCTCCTTCCCCCACAGCCCATGATTTCATCCCTGCCACATGCCACTAAACTAAAACCAATTGCTCCCAAACCTTGCTCTTGCAAGCCTGTGACATCCTCACAGACAAAGGATGTTTCAGGTGGTATTATAGCATCGCTTCCCAAAAATCAGGGACAAGTTTCGCCCGTCAAGAAAGATCTCGTTCAGACGCCCTCCAAGGCCTCCGCCAAAGTGAAGCGCCCTCTCTCCTTAGAGAGGAATAACGGCAAGGCAGCTAAGCGTAGTAAAGGGGAGTTTTCTGCAGAGTTGCCCACCATATCAAAGGTTCCTGCAGACATTCAGCCTTTGCAGTCGTCTAGTCTGAACCCAAAGACTGTAACTGTAAACCAGGTCGAGCTTGCCAGCGAAGATGGTGAAGACTTACAGGAGATTTCAACGACAACCTTAACAGGTCTTGTTCATTCAGCTGGTATCATGGACTGTGTGGGAGAGGATGCCTTGGGGAACATCATGGATATTCCCGTCGATATGCCTTGTGTCATGACAGAAAATATAAGAAGCTCAGGGATAGAGCCTAGCAATCCCACAGATGACCGCCTGGTAGAGATGTTACGTTCAATTGACGAGAGCGATCCGCGTGCGTGTGAGTTTTCTCCTCCTTCCTCGCCTGTGAATGGCACAGACCCATTGGTTGAGCAGGGCAAAGGTCCAGAGGTGCAGGATGAAACTACTGAAGTCAGTTCAGGAGATACTGAGACTAATAAGATCTGTGAGGAAAATCAAGCAATACCTGCCAAGGGAAATGAACCAAGCTCAGTAACTTTAGAAAATCAGCAAGATGTTGGAACTATAGATGAAGAGTGCTCAGTGCCAACTAGTTCTTGCACATCAGCTGAAAGTTCTGTTACTAGTAACTCCTATAGCATCACAGCTTTATGCTTATCATCCAGGCCTCTGAAGGAACAGTCTTTAGTAAAAGATTTTGGGAAAGCATCTGTTTCTTCTTCAGCTCCAACTGTTCAGTCCTCAGATGTTGAGTCAGTGGCTCAGAGGACTCCAGTGACAGTGTCTGCTGAAACTACAGATCTTACCAGAGTCTCTACTCCACTAGTGCTTCCCACCACATCGGGCGAATATTACCTTTCCAAAACGACTTTACCCTCACGTGAACACCTTCCAAAAGCTGCTTCTGCTCCTACGGTGTGTCAGTTGCCATTACCGTCAGCAGCTGCCCTTCCGCCTCCAAACATTTTCCTCAGAAACCCCACTGTTCTTCCTTCTTCCTCTCATTCCTTGCCTCTGCCGCTTCCTCCTCTTCCCTTGCCCCCTCTCCCTCCTCTCACGACAGAGCACCATTCAGCTACACTTCTGTCATCCCCATCAGTTTCATATTCAAATATCAGTATACCAGTAACTTCTACATCTAGTTTGACAGTGTCCAACATGGCCACTAGTTCAGTAACATTTACTAAAACTTCATTAAGTGATCCAGTATCCCCAGCAGTGATCTCCCTACCTAATTTATTTACAGCTCCCTCAACAACTATTTCACTTTCAAATTATCATATGCCATCTCAGTCCCCCTCTTTCTCATTTTCCTTGACAATGCCCTCATCGTCATCTTGGACCTCGGTGACAAATAATGCAGCATCAGTGAGTAGCAACACCACTAGTACCGCAGCACCAACAGTATCTTCCCTATTTTCTTCTTCCTTATTACATTCATTATCTACCAGTGATGCATACAACTCAGGAGACATGTCGGTAATATCTAAGGACTCGTCCAAAGACTTGCAAGCATCTGTTGCATCCTCAACCGTACAGTCACACGGTTCAGATGCCGTGAATGCCACTTCGACCCCAGCTGCGCATGAAAGCAAGGAACAAAGAACAGCGCATGTTACCTCATCATCCACCTTAATATCTTCAACTTTGTCCACCTCTGTCACAGACGCCATTCTAACTCCAAGTTCTACTACTCCTGTAGTGTCATCATTATCAGCATCATCTTTATCATTTTCATTATCATCAGCAAATGTTTCTTTACCAGAGTCTCTACTCCACTAGTGCTTCCCACCACATCGGGCGAATATTACCTTTCCAAAACGACTTTACCCTCACGTGAACACCTTCCAAAAGCTGCTTCTGCTCCTACGGTGTGTCAGTTGCCATTACCGTCAGCAGCTGCCCTTCCGCCTCCAAACATTTTCCTCAGAAACCCCACTGTTCTTCCTTCTTCCTCTCATTCCTTGCCTCTGCCGCTTCCTCCCCTTCCCTTGCCCCCTCTCCCTCCTCTCACGACAGAGCACCATTCAGCTACACTTCTGTCATCCCCATCAGTTTCATATTCAAATATCAGTATACCAGTAACTTCTACATCTAGTTTGACAGTGTCCAACATGGCCACTAGTTCAGTAACATTTACTAAAACTTCATTAAGTGATCCAGTATCCCCAGCAGTGATCTCCCTACCTAATTTATTTACAGCTCCCTCAACAACTATTTCACTTTCAAATTATCATATGCCATCTCAGTCCCCCTCTTTCTCATTTTCCTTGACAATGCCCTCATCGTCATCTTGGACCTCGGTGACAAATAATGCAGCATCAGTGAGTAGCAACACCACGAGTACCGCAGCACCAACAGTATCTTCCCTATTTTCTTCTTCCTTATTACATTCATTATCTACCAGTGATGCATACAACTCAGGAGACATGTCGGTAATATCTAAGGACTCGTCCAAAGACTTGCAAGCATCTGTTGCATCCTCAACCGTACAGTCACACGGTTCAGATGCCGTGAATGCCACTTCGACCCCAGCTGCGCATGAAAGCAAGGAACAAAGAACAGCGCATGTTACCTCATCATCCACCTTAATATCTTCAACCTTGTCCACCTCTGTCACAGATGCCATTCTAACTCCAAGTTCTACTACTCCTGTAGTGTCATCATTATCAGCATCATCTTTATCATTTTCATTATCATCAGCAAATGTTTCTTTACCAGAGTCTCTACTCCACTAGTGCTTCCCACCACATCGGGCGAATATTACCTTTCCAAAACGACTTTACCCTCACGTGAACACCTTCCAAAAGCTGCTTCTGCTCCTACGGTGTGTCAGTTGCCATTACCGTCAGCAGCTGCCCTTCCGCCTCCAAACATTTTCCTCAGAAACCCCACTGTTCTTCCTTCTTCCTCTCATTCCTTGCCTCTGCCGCTTCCTCCCCTTCCCTTGCCCCCTCTCCCTCCTCTCACGACAGAGCACCATTCAGCTACACTTCTGTCATCCCCATCAGTTTCATATTCAAATATCAGTATACCAGTAACTTCTACATCTAGTTTGACAGTGTCCAACATGGCCACTAGTTCAGTAACATTTACTAAAACTTCATTAAGTGATCCAGTATCCCCAGCAGTGATCTCCCTACCTAATTTATTTACAGCTCCCTCAACAACTATTTCACTTTCAAATTATCATATGCCATCTCAGTCCCCCTCTTTCTCATTTTCCTTGACAATGCCCTCATCGTCATCTTGGACCTCGGTGACAAATAATGCAGCATCAGTGAGTAGCAACAACAAAATTGGTCCTGTTGACCTTACTCCACTTTCTGCTGCTGCAACCTCTCAACCTGTACCTGCAGTTTCAACCACTCAACCAATTTCTTCTGATACAACCTCAGTACCAGTTGCATCACAGACCCCTATCCAAAGTCAGAGTTTGTCTGTACATGCTAATGAACCTCGCCCAAAAGCGAGTGACAAATCGCAAAGAATAAGTGATGACACTGCAGTTCCTCAGCACCACCATCACAAATTGGATGCTGTATCTGCTTCTTCATCTTCATCAGTACCCAGAGTGAGCAAGCCAAGTTCAACAAGAAGCCATAGAGAGGGACATGAGGGCCCGGCGGCACAGATGTCTGGTGCCCATAAAATTGTTCAAGACAGAGACAAAATACCTTGTGTTTCAGTTCAAGAAATGGAAGAAAGACCTCACTTAAAATCCAAGTCTGAGGATAAAACTGACAGTGGAGTGTCCAGGTTAACAGACTCTCAACAGTACATATGTATTGAAGTAAGTAAATGTAATGATAATATAAGACAAATGGAAAATGACAGACAGTCAGAACATGCCAGACAGTCAGAACATGCACCGACAAGGGAGCAAAGTAGCAAAAAGGCTAGTGTATCAGCAATGAGTCTCATACACATCGGTCGACAGGAAAAACAACAGCACACTTCTTCACATTTAGTCGACATCTCCCATTCCCGACCGGTAGCCACTCAGGAGGCACCACTCACTCGCTCTGCCGATACTCTCACGGTCCCCTCTTCTTTAGTTCCCCCTTCTTTGCCTTCTTCCTCTATCCATAGAGTGACACACCACCAGTCATCCACCAAAGAGCAGCAGCAGAGTCCTCAGATATCCAGTAATGGTGTTCACAGCACTCAGAGGAAGACAGATCATATTGTTACCAGTCCCCAGCCTGAAAAATTGGTCCAGCAAGTTCAGCACATGCCCACACCTAAGTCTCACCCAGCTCAGCAACTTCAACAACAGCAGCAGCAGCAACATCAACAGCAGCAACATCAACAACAGCAACATCAACAACAACAACCACAACAGCAGCAGCAACAACAACAGCAACAACAACAGCAGCAGCAGCAACAACAACAACAGCAGCAGCAGCAACAACAACAGCAGCAACAGCAACAGCAGCAGCAACAGCAGCACCATCATCATCACCAGCAGCAACCATCCAAGGAGGCCATTGTGATGCAACGATCACCAGCAAGTGTGCATGCAGTCCCATCACAGCCCCATTCACAGCAACATCAACAACAGCAGTCGCTTGCAAAGTACCAGTCCAGTCAGAAACAGGCACAGCCCCAGCCTCAGCCTCAGCAGCAACAAGCAAATCCTTCATCAGCTACAAATAATACTCAGCAACAGCATTCTCAGCGGCAGCAGCATCAGCACCAAGCTCACCACCCTTCGCAACAGCACACAGCTACAAACTTGAATCAACCACACCTAAATCAAGCAGCCTTACAAAAGCACCAGCAGTCACAAACACAGCATCTCACGCAGCAGCAACAACACCAACAACAACAGAATTCTATAGTTCAACAGCAGGTACCCGGACATTCATTACTGGGTCACAACACCAACATTGTGGCTGGTGTTGCAGGGGCTGTTGTGGGCGATGTTAGCGATGTCCTAGGGGACAAGGGTACCTCAGGCCAAGTCCCTGGTGCAGCCATGCAAGCCAGCCATCAGCCTGGAATGGTTACCATGCCGTATCATCCCCCAATGGTCACAGCGCCAAGCTACATGCAGCCTCCAACCTACGACTATAATGCCTATTGTCGGAAGGCCCCACACTCACCTCGTTCCGAAGGCAGGCACCAGTGCTATGGCTATGGCAAGCAGCACCAATATCAGCACGGGGATCTCCTTCCTCCAGATGCCACAATGATGCCTGACCCAAGACTGGCTCATAACCCACCCATGCCCATGCCTGGGCCTTTCCTGGAGACAACCGAAGAGCCACCTCCCATGCGCCCAGAACCAGCATCAGAACATGTTAGGTATTTCTCCGTGAGTCATTTAGTCAGTCATTCAAATGAGCCAAGAAAAGCATCCATAAGTGGTCAGCAGAAAGATGGGTCAGCATCCCACACGGAGGACAAATCCAAGGACTCAACAAGGACAAAATCAGGCAGCAGGAAGTCTGAGAGCAAGTCCCGAGGGGCAGGAGGAACCAAGAGCAGTTCTCAAGGGGACTCTCATTCCAGAAGGAGGAGCCCAGCAAGAGGGTCTCAACAAGGGAATAGTGGTTCAGTGGCTCCTGCAATGTGGAGCAACAAATCCTCCACTGTGCACAAACAGGGACATAACTACTCAGCAGAGGCTCTCTTAAGCACTCAAAATTACGGCAGGCCAACACACAGGCCACCTGCAAACCAAAATTATCCGATCATGGCTCCTAATCAGATGTACCAAAGCAATTATTCCCCTCAGCAGATGAAGAATTTTGTTCCCAATACCTCTTTTGGATACACAAGCCACGATCGGAGTGGTCAGAGTGGTTGCAACCCAGATTACAATTTCCAGTTGCATACCCAGGCTTCAGGTTCCTTAGCATATGGAAGCAATATGGCTTACATGCCCACAGGATACCCGTATCAAAATTTACCTCCCTCGTCATCCTCTATGTTGTCTGGTGATATCATGGCACCACCACACCCAGCAGGCCCTTACCCTCGCTTCCATGAGTTCCCAACAGACCAAAGCAACTTTCCACCAAACCCAACATTTCCTTTACCTCTTGATCCCCAAGATGTATGCAGTGGAGGGGGGCTCATGGGGGCGGCTAGTAGTGCAATGGCTGTGCGAGCTCCTCACTCTGACATGCAGCTTGTACCCTCCTCATCAGTTTCTTCTACAGTGGCATATTCAAGATCCAATTCAAATCGAAGTAGTGGGAACATAGGAGTGAGTTCAAGTGTTGGAGGTAGCATCAGTAGTAGTAACCACACGATAGGAAGCAGTACCGGTGTGAGCACCAAGAGGCCTCGATATGGAGAATCCAACATGGTGAGCAGTGGGATGGGAGGATCTGCAAACCTCTTGGAAGGGGGGGCACTGGCTCACATTCCTCTCCATTCCTTTACGCCTCCTTGTGATGATCCAACATTGGTCCATTCAAATTTGTTCCCAGGGACTGCACCCAGGCACCAGAGTAATTTCCTCTTGGGTCCTGATAACCTCATGCCAATCAATACTGCTCAGTACCCAGGGACTAGTAGTGGCACAGGGTCAGGAGGGACAGGTCAGCTGGGGGCAGGGGGAGTGGCAGGTCCCCCCGGCACCCGGGCGGGTTCATCTGTTGTGCTACCGCCTGGCGCACCACCAGGGCATGTCCCCTTCAGCCCCCTGCGTGTGATGGACAGACAGCAGGTCAACATGGCGCCTCCCACAGCCCCACACCTTTCCTCATCATTGTCTAACTTCAATCTGACAAGCATCATCCCAGAGATTGATGGAAAGGTACATTAATAAAACAAAAAACATTTTGTGCTTGAAATATTTAAAAATAAATTTCTGATGTCTTTTAAGTTGTAACAATTTATAAAAGGATGTGTGTATATAGAATGTCCACCCCTGTAGTACCAATACCATATTTTTTGTATTTTACCATTTAACTTGCTCTCCACAGGGAGGAGAAAACAATGGAGGAATGGGTTCTACATCTCGTGGAACTGCCATAGGTAACAATGAAGTTCTTGGTGCGGCTATACCAGGCCAAGCACGGCTGCCTCCAATGCCCTCTTCTCTGTTGCCTCCAGCAGAACCCCTCAAGGGCTTACCAACTGATGCAAACAGACTCCCTCCTCCAGTTCTGAACAATTCCATGAACAACATATTTACACACACCCCACATCATCAGGTAAGTCTCTTGTAACCTTTAACTTACAGTGAACTAGTTTAAGAGAGAAAAGAAGAGAGTGACATGAGAAATTATCAAGGGGATTCCAAAGAGGGTGGTGTGAGGGAACGAGAATGGACTCTGTATGACTGATTTGTTGGCAATGATATGAGCTACGAAGTATTGATAGTTTACTTTACCAGAAGTTTTTGCAGTTGAATTGACTAGTTGGAAATATTCCTCTGGCCTTCTGCATATATTCTTTTAACCCAATACCAGAAAGTATGTTTTGTGAAATGTCTCTACACATGGATGGTTCCATAAGTGCTTTACCCCCAAGGAGTCAGTTAGTAGACCTCATGACCTGCCCTGAATACAAGTAAAATATATATATTTTTTAATGCTATTAGTAGTGATGCTGTTATCATTATTATTATTATTATTATTATTATTATTATTATTATTAATATTATAGGTATTATATTTAGTGTTATTGATATTAGTAGAACTAAATATGGAGAAGGGATTGTATTAGGCATTCTGATGCCACAGAAAAGTATCTAGGCATAATCTAAGATCAGATAGATAGTGGGTATTGGGGAATTATATAGCCACCAATATACTCATAACATTAAATAAAACAATATGTATATAGGCCCCTATTAATATATGTAGCTATGTTGCTGGTTCATGGAGACAAATCACCTTTATTTGTACTTTCCTCTTGATTTGATTTTCCATCACTCTCTTCATAGATTAATTTACATATATATTTTTTTGTGTCCTTTCAGGTTGGACTCGGCCTGAACAGTTCTTTGCCTCTGCCTCCAACGACTTTCTCCGGCATCAATTTCCCGACACCCGACCACTAACTGACAACATAATCACGACAGCAATAGACAAACTGGTACGTTAGTATTCCTTTGAATAAAGTGCCAAGGTGATTCAGGAGTGAGCTTTGTATATGTATATTTAGATGTGGATATATGATAGATATATAGGAACATTTAATCAATGTTGTTTTAAAGAAGAGTAGGCAGGAAAGAAAGGAAATTGTAAATGTAATGATTTCTCTTCAGAAAAAATTGAAGTGGACTAAGAGTATGTGTGATATTGCATTCACATACTTTATTAAGGACTTATTTGTATATGCAGTAAACTGTGTAAATAGTATATTCTGTACAGGGTTTGTGAAAATTATTTCACTTAATAGAATGTGTGAAGTGTCTGTGATATTATTATTTAATGTTTTTATTTACATATGAAATAATGTTGACAACATGTGTTCTGTAAGGATATTTATGAATTACAATAAAGTTGCAGTTAATTATATTATCACTGGAATTTATTTTTCCTTCGGGGTCATAGACTTGTAGAAAAGTAACACAGCTATTGCTTTTGTGAACATTGTTGTAAGGGGAAAGTAATGCCATTTCTTTGCTCCTTTTGGCCAGTTCCTTTAAGTTTTCTGTTTCACAAAAACGTCATCTCAACCCTAAAGGCTACAAGAATTCATAGCTTTACATTACACAGGGTAGTAGAACAAATGGAACTCGTAAGTCTGTAGTAGAGAAATAGGAAAATGATCTATTAAAATAACTAGCCAGCTTTCACTCTGTATACCATACATAAATAAGCAAGAAAATGCTATATGGTAAGAGGCCAGACAACCAAGACAGACTCCTTTTTTTATAGATAATAATAAGAGATAAATAAATAAATGAATAAATAGATAAATTAAATATTTAAGTAACAGCAGAAATATTCCTAGTTTTTACTAACTCTTATACCTGATTGCAAGTTTTTCTCCAGAAGTTTGTATATCTGCTTTTCTCATCCCCCTTATGATATATCCTCGACTATTGTGGAAGTAAATGATAAACTTGTATGTGTCTATCTGCATTTATCAATCTATCTATCTATAGCTTTTTATTCATCTATATCTTTCTTTCTTCTTCTTCTTCTTCTTCTTTTTGTTTTCATTGTCTTTTTCTTTTTCTTGGCCATGTTCATATTGTATGAAAGAATTATGAGGAAAAACAGAGTAGGATTTATATTTATTTAGATGTATATTTATTTAGATGTATATTTATTTAGATGTATATTTATTTAGATAATTTGTGACAGTTTTCCCCCAAATACTTTATAGGACAAATTATTTATGTAACCATTTAGATCATACTAATGTTTTTTCCCATAATTTGTTCATTAAAGATGATTGGGATTATCATTATCTTTATCATTTTCATTTTTATAGTATGCTCACTACTATAATTATTATTATATTTTCATCATTAGGTTGAATTTTATTATTCTTGTTCTTTAATGACGAGAAGAAAGATTAATGTTCGGGAATTGGGAAATAAAACATTCGACAAAAATCCTTTTTTTTTCCAAGCTTTTATATTAAATCACAGAAGATAAAGTGTATATCCATGGTAAGTCAACTGGACATGAATGTAAGAGTGTGTAGATACAAAACACTGAAACATTCTAAATTGAGTAGAAATATTTTACACTTGATTCTTCGTAGAGAAACTGACATATTAGTACATATTTACATAAATATGATGATGATAAGTACAACAGTAGGTAGAGGTATATTCTCTGAGAGTAATATGAAAGGAAAAATGGGATATATATATGTTTGTAATGATCATGATGTTCTTTATCACAGGGTTAAGACAATCAAACAGTGCTCCAAAAAGGTTAGATAGGGAAGTATATACTTGTAAATTATTGTTATAAGCATAAATAATAGCGACGGAAATTATAAGTTTGGACATATATCACAGTATGAACAAAAATTAATTGAGTCGGTCATTCATACAAATACATAATATATCCAAAGAAATATAACTACACAGAAGACTAAAATAAAACATACAGAGGGCAACAGTGATACATTATGATGTTGATAATTCATGGATATTTTAGTTTCATGGAATCAACTACTATTGCCCATTAATGTCAATAGGATGGTAAAAAATGCCTTACAAAAGTTACCCTGAGCAAAGATTGGCTGTTAATATATTATTTGAATGTAAACTGAAAGGTTGGTTTGCACCTTATACAGACAATGGATTATTTTCCCACAGTAGCAATCAATCAGTTTTATCAACAGCAGCAGTAAGATTAATAGTAATAAGATCTGTTTATATTTTCAGTCACAGAAACTGAACTCATAAATAAATACTGATGTATGGTACATTGGCAGTACATATTATGCAATGTTTTCATTTTCAAGAGCACCAAGTAAATATATATATTCTTTAATCAGTTTATTCCATAAGAAAAAAAAAAGTTCATATTCCGTATTTACGATTTATAAATAACACGCTCTTATTGTCAAACAACAGAAATTGAATTAGCTTTTCTGAAATGGAATTATTCTAAAATATCATTCAATATTGTAATTATATTTCTATAGGAAGGCCATGTTGCAGGAGACTCATAAGGAGAGTCAACAAAGATACTGCATTTAGAAGTATAGCAAACTCTAGTCTAGCATAGTCTCTCTCTCTCTAAATCTCCATTCTAAACTTTGCAGATTAAGTTAAATTAAGATATGTAATGTATTCTTAGATTTCAACCCATCTTTAAGAAGTTTGGCATTAGCTACTCTGCAATGCAATTTTTTTCTTTTTTTTCTTATATTTTAAACCAAAAATTTTAATAGCTTGATTTCCCTTCCTTCACCTGTAGAGCTGCAAATTTAACACCTTATATTGGAAATCAAGATGTTACTAGTAATTAGAAAAATGGTTAATAGGCTTTTGTCATGGTGTCCTCTTCGAATTCAACAGTAACACCGAAATCCTCCTGAAACACATTCCACGTTTTGCTCTTGTGTGGGTTGTCCAGCTCGTGACGACTCAGTTCAAGTCTGTTAAGAAAAAACGAGAGAAATGAAAATGAGGATTCCACTAAGTCTAAATCATTTTTAGGGATTACCGAAAAGAAGATCTATGTATTGATAAAAAACGAAGATGTAACCAATTTTTTAAAATATTATTTTAAAATTTTTTTGATGATGACAGCCTGGCCATTAAGATCGTAT